CACACACAAGAGCGAGGGGGACAGGGCACCACTCGATACACATATATATGCATATAGAAAAATGCATGCCACTGATTCGCACTGTTCCCCGCTCGCTGTGCCCCGTTCCAACGACTTGACTGTCACTAAACGGCTCATCTAACTGCAATGCTTCATAGAAATTTGTTTGTATGCCCGGAGGCACATATCGGGAGAGTGGCTATAGACAGAGGGGGGAGGGGGTATACGGGGCTGTGGCTGTGCAACTTATTTTTGCAACAACAATGAACCAGAGCATAGAGGGGGATAGAAGGAGAGCAAGCGAGAGAGAGGCAGAGACCACAAATCACAGAAAATGAAAATCGAAAAGTGCATGGTTTTTTTTTTTTGCTCCCTATGTAAAATATCAGAAAAATGAACAGACACAGATGCACACACATATGAGCAGATCTAAAACGTGTACTTATGTGTGTATCAAAATACTATATACTTTGTATCCCAAACAACAAATTTACACTCCAACAGACGATGTCGTCGTGCCAGTCACACAGTCAGCCGCAACGGCTGTCTATAATGTGGCAGCCCCCCATCTCTCGCTCTCGCTCTCTCTCTCTCTCTCTCTCTCTCTCTCTCTCTGTTACCCCCAACTGCCACATTTGATAGACTCCCCCTTCCACCGCCCCACTATATGGTGCATCTATCTCTCTCTCTCTCTCTCTCTCTCGCTCTGTCTCTCTGGCCCATCTCTTGCCTCTTGTGTCGCTGCCACGACTATAAAAATAGGCAAATAATTATTTAAGAATTTCTTGATTAATTGGGAACGTTGTTGCTGTTGTTGTTGTTGCTGGTTGGGGCATGCAAATGTTGCCGCCGTCGTTGGCAAGAGATGCAACAACAACAACAACAACAACAACAATTATTGTGGCAGCACCAGCAGCAGCAGCAGCCCCATTTTGGCCAACACTTGATTGCATTTTCAATTGTTCAGCCGTTATGCATTTTTGCCAATAATTTATATAAATGCCACAGACAGCCAGAGAGATGAGGAGAAAGTAATAGAGAAAGAGGTACATAGAGAGAAAACGGGCGGAAGAGATCTGTCTCAAGGAACTTCATTCCCATAAATATTTATCGATTCAGCACTGCCTCCATCGATAAGTACATCTGATGACACCTACATTCCTTCTATCTATCTTTTCCGCGCAATTAGCATATTTCATATCCATTCTTGTCGGAACACACGCATTCCACAACGTGCCACAAGTCGAGAGGGTGTCACCGCCCCAACGATTGACAATGTTGCAGGAACACACAAAAAAGGGCTAACACACAGTTGCCCCCCCCCCCCCCCCCCACTGCATGTTGCATCTTCAACTCTTTCCCTTTACATATCTACACTTCACTCCTCTCAATCTCTACCACTCTCGCTGCTATCTCTGTCTGTGGATGCCTCTTCGTTTATTTTTATAAACTTTAGTTTCTGTTTTTTTTTTTTGTTTTGGGCTTTTTGGCGGAGTGGCAGACAGACAGAAGAGACATTCGCATATTCAGATTCATCTTGTCGTTTGCGCATAAATAACTGTCGCCTCCACTCGCACTCGCACTCGCACTCGACGCTCCACGCGCCATGCCCCGTGCGGCATGCCCCTCTGTCTGGCATGGCATGCATTATTTCATTAAAGTATTACAATATTAATTCGATTTTCACTAATTGACAACGGCAGACAGCAGAGCAGCAGAGCAGCAGAGGCAGTAGAGTGGAGGGGACAGTGGAGAAAAGAGTAGAGAAAGATGGAGAAATCGAATGAGAATGAAATGGAATGAAGGGCAGTGCAAATCGAATTGAAGTGCTCTTTGAAGGAACCACTTTTTAGGCCATCGAAATGCTTTCCTTTTGACCTGAACTTTGAGATACATTTAAGCCAGTTGCAGATAGAAAATGAGGGATCCACAGCTTTCGTATCTTAAAGCCTCTTTTTCCATGATCCGCCCTCTCCCTCTTCCTGTGGGGAGAACAACAGACTTACAGGCGGCAAAAAACTGGCAAAAAGGATGGGATGCCATGCCACATTATGACTGTAGGTGGGTGTCCTGCTGCTGCCCCCGGTGCGTGAGTGTGTGTGTGCAAACGTTGCGGCTGTTCATGTTGCAGAGGCAAAAGGAGGCAGGGAGTGGAGGGCCTTCGACAAACTGTTGATACCCTCGCTCTTTGCTCTTTTCGCTTGTTGCTGCTGCTGCTGCTGCTGCTGTCACTGTTGTTGGGGGCCTGACCCCAAAGTACAAATCAATTGCATGTGTATGCTGTGGTGACTGTTCGTCGCACACAAACACAAGCACACGCACACGCACACACAGATACAGATCCAGATACAAATACAGCGATGGGGTTGACCGTTTGGTGGTAAGGGGGTAAGGGGGCTGGCGTCGAAACCAAAAACCAGGCCACGTGCTGTGCTGTGCTGTGCTTTGCTGTGCGTTTGGTCAATGCCAGCCGGCCGGCCTTGTCTCCCCACTCCCTCTCTGTCTCTCCCTCTCTTTGTGTGCAAAATTGTGTCAATTGCAGTTGCCACTGGGAGATGCCCCTTGCTCCACCCCGCCCCCATTTAACGCAATGTCAACAACATGCGCAGGTTGCGCGAATATTGTGGGAGGAGTGGCAGCAAAATTTCGGTTTTTGGTTCCTTTCTGTGAGTGGAGCGGAGAGGAGGGGAGCTTCCGATGTCGATCAAAAATAGCACTTGCCCATCCAATCTGCCTAGACAACAACGCTGAGGAGCAGTGCAGACAGGTTCAAGGAATGCCCCTGCTTAACGGTCCACCGTCCCTCCTGCCTCTCGTCTGCCTCCTCAGGCACTGAGCAGTCGATGAGCCGCAGGCCACAAACTGTGACCTTCATATGGCCATAAACCGAAAGCAAATCAAAATCGAATGCTCCCACGCATTCAATGAGCGAATTGCCTGCCTGCCTCTGCCTTCTGCCTTCTGCCTTCTGCCTGATGATCCGCAAACAACAAAAAAGAAGTAGAGAGAAAGAGCGCTTCATTAAATTTCCTCCAGACACAAAAATGTGAAATTCGATCGAAAGAATTATGTATGCCAAAAGACCAGAACAAAAATCCCCACAAGGCATCAGTCAAAGCGCAAGTTTTATTTTGTTTTCTGTATACCCTTTCCGTGCGAGAGGGTGTTTTGATTTGCAAGAAAAGCTGCAAGTCTCGCTCTAAGTTGTATTAGTTTTGCTAGAGATAAATGTTTCCAAAGAGAGTGTGAAAAACGTAGAATTTCATGGTACATCGAATAACTCTAGGGATCTGCAAGAGTATCAACTGCTTCGACGATCGGCCCGCCTCCGAATACTGAATGTATTTCCACTCTCTCGCGGGGTTTTGTTCTGGGTTTTGCATATCGACAAACGGGCAAACAGGAAATCCATGTTTATGTTTAAATTAATAATAAAACACAGCACACAAAATGTAATATAAGAAAAAAGTTTGGCATTTTTTTTTGTTTTTTGTTGTTGGTGTTGTTCGAGGGGTATCAATGAAATGTGTGGATCTCCATTGAACGACAAAACTCTGACGATGACGATGATGGTTCCATCACGATGATGATGATGATGATCACCATGATGATGACGACGATGCTGGCAGGCAGCAAGCGTTATGCGGGACGCTGCTCCGAAAGCATTAATACAATAAATTATATTATGGCCTCTTCCTGTTTGCTCCGATAAAGCGCGACCGAACAGAGAAAAATGTTCGAAATTGAACAATATTTCTGCTTCTTCTGTTGGGGATCGGATCGGGGTCGGGGGTGGGAGCGGGGGCGGGAGCGGGAGCGGGGGCGGTGGATCGAACGGCGGGTGTGCAGTGCCAAAGGGGTTGATAATAATGCGTCGTTGTCGTTGTCGTCGTCGTTGAGGCCTGAAGAGATCTTGAGCGTCTGATTTGTGCAAATAATTGAAATTTGCATATAATGAAGGAGACACTCGTATATAATATGGGGGCGTTCAATGCCAGAGAGGGGGAAAGAGAGAGGGAGAGAGAGATTGGGGAGGGGGGTGAGAGGAAAATCTTCTTTTTTTTTGTGAATGAAGCAAGGCTCTCCTCTTTCGCCTGCACAGTAGCCGCAATCAAGTCGTGTGCAACGGTTGGTGCCCCCAAGGATCAGGCGTCGCCTCTATTGTGAAATGGCACATAAATTACATTTAAGGTGAAGCTCTCCCCCCCCGTCGTTCCCACCCGCTCCCGCTCGTACTCCACCTTTTTAGCCTTGAACAAAATACATACAAAAAAAGAAAAAAAAAGTGTAAAAATCTTTAAACCCAAAAAACGGGTCTGCAAATTGAGGTTCTTCGGCGGCCTGACAATGAGAGGATCATCATGTGGTTGGGTAATGAGCATGATGACGTTGTTGCGCCTACTTTTGTGTGGGCGTTCCGCAGTGTTTCGTTGCTGTCTGCCAAGGGCTGGCCGCCTCTGCTGTCGTGGCTGGGCTGCTGCTAATGGCAGACAGACGAGACAAGTTTTGACATATTTTGTTGCAGGAGAGCATAAAGCGAATGCGAGGCTAAGAGGAGGCTGCTGGCTGCTGGCTGGTGGCTGGAAAGGACAAGCAGCAACAGCCACAGCCACACGACGACAACGACAACGACGACGACAACATGAATGAAACGCAAATGAATGAAATGTGCGGCAGAAAACTAACAAAAAAAAACCAAACCGATTCTGAATCTGAAAACAGAACCAGGAGGAGCCCAAACCACCGATTCATATACATATATGTGTATGTGGGTGTGTGTGTGTGTGTGTGTGTGTGTGTGTGTGTGTGTAGTTATCATTATAGGGCCCCGTGGAGGCCTCACAGCCTTTCAGTCGCGAGTCGCGAGTCGCGACAAACATCATTAGTTGCTCTCTACCTTAAAAGTAAGTGGAGCAGAGTGTCTGGCCACAAAAAAGTTGTCGTTTTGTTGTCTGTCGTTGATTGAGATTCGGGGGAACGGAAACAACCAAAAAACTTACGAATTTCGAATGAGTGCAAAAGTAGTTGAGGGCGTATTGGTTGATTGAAATTACCTGCAATGACAAGAGAGTAAAGAAAATTTGTTAATTATTTTATTTAACGAGGAAAATAATGTACAAAAAACTCCCAAAATATATTGGAAAAATACTTATTTCACAAGGAATTTAGGGGCAAAAATATTACAAAAAAATACAATTACAAATTTATTGGTTATGCAACTTGGTACAAAAAAAAAAAAAAATAAATAAATACGAAAATATACTGAAAAAATACCTACTAAAAAATTTAAAAAAAATAGAGCACAAAATGATTAAAGCCCTGTGGTTCAGTAGTCGTGTAAATTGAGTTAAGGCCACCACAAAATATTGAATAAATAGCAAAAGAAAAAAAAGTAATAGCTCTCACAGTTAAGATGTAAAAGGCAGCACTACTAGATAACTAGGGAATCACATCCGTGAGACACTTCCGCTTTGGCTCTCCCTCGGGAGTACAGTCACCGCAGAGAGGCTGTCCCGGGATATCGACTATCAATGGGAATTCGAAGGGGAAATGCCCGAGCATTGACGCGGCCTTTGGGGGCTCCGTTGCACTTGAACTCTAGATGGAATTTGCGGTCTTCGGTTCGTGGAGCAGCAAAAAAGAAGTCTGGCAGGGAAAATACGTCGGTAGCCGATATAGCGCGTCAAATAGCAATTAACAACTGATGTAGATAATCACTGGACAAAAAATTCTGAGCGCGAAAATAACTTCAGCCACAGACAAACAAATATATTTCACAAATATATATACACAGATTTATATATATGTACATATATACGAGTATATATATGTCTGTATGTACATACATATGTATGTGTATGAGCACACGCAATGGCCGCAGCATTTTGTGATAAACGACAAAATAAAATCAAATCTAAAGCTCCCAAAAAAAAAGAAGAAACGAATGAAATAAAATAATCGCAAGGCGGCTACTGAAGCTGTGGCCCTCTCTCTCTCTCTCTGTGTGCTTACGAGTATCTATGTGTGTGTGGAATTAGTTAGAGGAGGGGAAACGAATATTAGATGGAGCCAAAGAAGAAGAGCAGCGGCAGGCAGGCAGCAGCAGCAGCGGCAGCGGCAGCAGCAACCATTTCTAAACAAATACATCATCATCATCATAATTATAAAATTAAATTCTTGTTGGTTTTTTTATCAATTTCCAACAGCAGCCCCATCCGCCCGAGAGGGGGGCTGTTTGGGTGTGGGGGAATCAGGTGTTATAATAGCCATAATACACACGGAAAGACTCTCTTGTGTGTGGCAATCCGGCAATCCGGCAATGTTTAAATATTGCTAAAGATACAGATACAGCCAGAGAGATACAGAGATACAGGGATACAGATACATTGCAGGAGGCAGATAAAGATAAAAAGTTAGAGTCGAATGTGTGCTTAAGATATCTAGAGAGAGACATATAGCTGCCATATTTATATAGAGACGTAATCAAGTCACTCAAGTGGAGACCCTCGAATGTCGTCTATTGGTCGGCCAGCGAAGCGAGGCGAAGCCCCAACCAACAACCGTCTTTAGATACAGATACAAATACAGCCATCGCTATGGATATTCCATATACTATACGCACAGATAAGATCTGTGCTTATCTCCCCATGATATATATGTATGTATATCTCGCTCTCCACCGCCTGCTTAGTGGACAAACAAATAGGTGTATAAATAAAAAATGAATTACAAAAAACGAGCAGAGACACCCACAGATAAGAGCCTCCAAAAGGCAATTCAAGAAGTGGCAGTCATATCTGGCTGACGAGCACGAGATATAGTACGTATATATAGATATAGATATAGCCATGATATCAGTTAATCGGCGTGCCATATACCCGCACACACACACACACACACACACACACACATACAGTCTTGCCGAGTGAGAGACAATCGTCATAAATTGTTTAGTTGTTGGCTAAACATGTTGAAAGATTTATGGGCAGGGCTATACGCGATCATATAATGATTTGTAAGAAATCGGCCAGATATATGCACAAGTATACGGCGCTGTGGCTCCGTGGCTCCGTGGCTCCGTGGCTCCGTGGCTCTACTATGTGGCCCGCTGTGATTAGGCAATGGCGTCGGTTAGCTCTCTCTCTGGCTAGTTAGTTGGGTGTGAAAGCCTTGAGCTACTTTGGTGCGTAGTTTTCTGTGTGTGCTCTGTGTGCCGTGCTCTCGTTTCGTGTAGAGATTGCCCTGGAGCTCGGTGGAGCTTCGGTGGGTGATGGGGCGCTTGGCGAAGGTTGCACAAAGATTTTGTAGAGTGGAGAATAGTAAAATGTATCAAATAATCATAGGATTCGATCGGTGGTTATACATTTTTGAAGGCCAACGAAAAACTATTGATGTGGAGAATTGGAGACTTTTAGTGGAGAGTTTGTAGATTCTAGTTTTCAAAGTTAAAACAATAAAATTATGCATTTAACATCGTATATGGGCTCTCCTCTATGGAGAGTTGGAGACTTATTGTGGAGACTTTCAGCACTCACTGAAATTCATAACTCAATGCATTTCTATCACCGGAATACAACTTGAAAGCTCCTAAGCGTGCCCATGCTCCTGTAGAGAGCTTGGACATAAGACCCTCCCCTGTTGCATGCCCCCTTCCAGGGGCCTGTAGCCAGTGGCCAGTGGCCAGTGGCGAGCGCCCAGTATCGAAATGATAACAACAGCAAAGGAAGTGAAGGAATCCGAAATGAAATGAAATGAAATACAGAAAGGAAACGTAGCAAAGCGAAAAAATT